GTCGCCGAAATGTTGACCAGAGATCAAAGTATCAATAAGATGGGATATATAGGGTGGCCACTGAAAAACTAAATTAATATTAAAATTAATTATCTAAAAATTAAATTTCTTTATAATTTATTTATTCTCGAATATACTACATTTTGATTAAAAATGTTATTTTATAAAATTTTTATCTGTAATTAATTTTTATTTACAAATTTTAATAACAATACATAAGTATAATTTAAGTATATCTTATCGTGGATTGTCAAATTAAATAACAAATTTCCCTGAAAAGATTAAAAGGCCGCCATGTTACTTTATTTTAATGACAACATTTAATTATAAAAATTTTATTCTTAAATTAATATAATAGGGTATCTAATCCTAGTTTATTATTATTTAATTTTAATATATTTTAATTTAAAAATTTATACTATTAATATTAATTTAAATTTAAATTAATATCAATTAAAATTAATAAATTTAATATAATAATTATTTTTACTTTAATAAAATTTATAGATTATTAACTTATAATATAAGTTTAACCGCCATTGCTGGCACTTTAATTTATCATTATTAATTTTAATTCCCCTATTTAATTTTCATTAAATTATATAGAATTTTTTTATTATTTATATATATATTATATTTCCTAATCTTTTGGGTGTAATAATCACTCCAGGGGTTCAATTTTCAAGGCCAAAGGTAAATCAACCCATTAAAAACAATTCTTGAATATTCTCAGAGGTGTTCGAATTTTTAGAATTTTCGAGAATAAAAGAATGTGAACCAAAATAAATTATTACACAGTTTTCTCCTACTAAATTAATAGTCATTTCAAGATGTCATTGAACAATTTCATCATTGCGCGTTGCAGTTATGAAGAAACCTTTGTATTAAATCCTCCTTAAAACTTCCGTAATTTAGATAGCGCGGATTCGTCGTCCGCGGAGAGTTTAAACTTACACACACACACACACACACACACACACACACACACACACACACACACACATGGTTGTTTAATTTGATAGCTAGCGGAACAGTGGCGCGGCCGATGAACGTTCGAAGGCCCTTTCGCGAAGCAAAGTGCGGCTCAGCTTGGCCAAACTTAATTTAACGAATCGGCCACACGGAAACTCGTCCACTGTCCTGGACGCTGAGGACTCTCAAGACGAGCCACGAAGCGTGCCCTCTGCCAAACTAGACTCGGCCCTTCTACCAGTATCAATCCTCCAGTTCTTCCTTCCATTAACCGTACGGAACGATATTAATCTAACGAACAAGAGAAACCTGCCCTTTTGACCGTGTTTCGGGACGTACGGATGATAAAGGGAAATGTTAATTTTCTTGCAGTACTTGGTTTCGTGTTGCTTTCTTTGTTCTGTTGTAAGATTAGCAAGCAAAAAAGTACAAATCACAACTGATTATAATATTATAATATCAGTTTCGCGGAGGGACATTTCTGGTGTTTGAATTGGTAAAATATGGTATTTATGGTTAGGTGTGTTTTCTCACCAAATTTACAGAATATACACATATCATACTCGATTACATATTAGACTATATTATTTTGAATAAGAGAAAATCGTATAACAATCCAATTTGTCCCATTTTAAAGGGTGAAGTCTTTATTTTACTAACCTTGAAGTTTTACAACCTCATGGAACAGGTAGAAAGGCAGGAATCCCTTTATCGAAAATTGTAAAAATTTGAACATTCAAACTCCCAAAATCACTTCGAAAAATTATTTTTTGCAGCTAGATCTTCTACTTGAGGATTGAAGTTTACCTGTTTCAGAACTTGCTTCATTTTTTCCCCAGCTTTTTCCTAAAAACTCCATTAAATAAAACAGAGAACCAAAGAAAAGCCAAAGCTACTTTCCACTGGTGGGATTTTCAATTTCACTCGGTTCGCGTTTTTACGTCTCACGCTGGCTTTCGTGCGGACCTTTGTCACCATGACGAGCGTTGTGAGACAGGATCCGTTCAAGGCCATGGTGAATGAGCCTAATCTTCCGCCACTTAAGTCCTCTTCGTGCGTCCTTCGAATGTCGGTAGAAATCCACCACGCGGCGTAACACGAACGTGAATGATAATTGATCGAAGTAATTACAGTATCGTGTGTTAGGGATGAGAGTATTGATACTTTAACCTCTTACGTTGGAATGACGTGCCACGCACGTCGAGAATATTTGACCTAAAATTGCAGTATTTTCTTAGTTTTGAATATATTGAGATACCCACGCAAGACGAATAATAAATTTATTACTTTTTAGTCATTTCTATCCAGTAATATACCGATGAATTTAAAAAAAAGGACGAGTTATTGTATACGGTTTGGTCACTCGTTATGGTCCGCCAACCAGTTACTAGCGCAAGAGGTTAACCTCCTGTCTGGCTGAAAATTGTAATATTTTCTCAGTTTTATATTATATTGAGATATAATCCAGGCAAAACAATTAATAAATTTATTACTTTTTAGTAATTTTTATCCAGTAATGTACTGATGAGTTCAAAAAGGAAGTCAAATTATTGTATAATACGGTTTGGTCACTCGTTACGGTCCGCGAACCAGTTACTAGCGCAAAAGGTTAACCTCTTAGAGGTTAACCTCCTGTCTGGCCGAAAATTGTAATATTTTCTCAGTTTTAAATATATTGAGATGCAATCCAGGCAAAACAATTAATAAATTTATTACTTTTTAGTAATCTCTATCTAGTAATATACCGATGAATTCAAAAAAACGAACGAGTTATTGTATACGATTTGGTCACTCGTTATGGTCCGCGAACCAGTTACTAGCGCAAGAGGTTAACCTCCTGTCTGGTTGAAAATTGTAATATTTTCTCAGTTTTAAATATATTGAGATATAATCCAGGCAAAACAATTAATAAATTTATTCCTTTTTGGTAATTTCTATCCAGTAATGTACCGATGAATTAAAAAAAAAAGGACGAGTTATTGTATACGGTTTGGTCACTCGTTATGGTCCGCGAACCAATTACTGGACCAGTTACTGGAACCAAGAAAATATATCGTGACTATTATACTTTTCGTACGATAAGACAGCTCTTATCGTTCGAAGCAAATCTCTCCCAATGAATTTGAGACGAATTTGCAAGGAGGATCCATCAGGATTTTACACCTCCCAGTTTTTACTTCACTTTTACTCGAGCTAGTTATACAACGAGTAGCACGCGAGTCGGCGAAACGATCGGTTAAGACTGCGAGAGCGATGAACTAATTCCGATTCAACAAAGTGCAATAACCGTTATATAGATACTCGAGTTAATCGTATCGATCGACCTTATGCAACGTGGAACTTTGATTTCAGTGTCTAAGCCCTGGCACAATCGGACTCTTTCAAACGCGCGAACCTCGTTAATTGCTCTGAAAGGAGAAGTTCCCTTGACTGTCGTTACATTTAAAAAATGTATCCAATTACATGAAATTGTACTGTAACATTTGAAAAATTGTTGCATTATCACGTGAAATTAAATGGAACGAAATAGAGCATCATAAATATAATACCTAAATATTCTGAAAATGTACCTGTCTAATTATTAAAATTGGGTATATTGTAACATTGAAAAATTGTTAGCTGTGATATTTTACATTATCGTATAAAATTGAGTAGAACGAAATGTAATAATTTATGTAATATTCTGAAAATTATTACAAACCATCGAAATTACAATTAACAATTGAAAAACTGTTGGCTGTTTTACATTATATAATAAATGATATAACATAAATTTAATTTAAATGATAGAATGATATAATAAATTTCATTCGCGTATTACATAAATTCACAACAATGAATTGAAATATCTTCTTGGACTCTTACAAGAAGATTTTGCAAAAGGATAAAAATAAAGATAAAAATTTATTGTTCGAATTAACAAAATTAACATATTTTAAAGAAAGATCTTGAAAAATCTTCTGTGGCAAGATACTATAAAAGCAAAATAACAAGAACGACCCGGATGAAGCAAAATTTCAAAATTACACGTGTATACAAGCATGATACGTGATAAACTTTAAAGAGTGGACTTCTCTCTGGTAAAATAATTTTCATTTCTACTATTCTCGTGTAGCAGAGTCCAATTATCGGATCTACTTGCAGACACAGGAAGGATGGTCGAATCTTCTTTAGTATCTTTATCGGATCTTCTTTAGAAGCAGGGGGGGGGGGGGGGAAAAACAGGCCTGAAACGTGATTAAACGATCGGTTCGATCGAAAGAGAAAACGAAAGAGAGAAAAGGGACACAAGGAGGACGAGTGATCTCCTCGTGACTCGGCGGCGCAAAAATGATAGCGTGTTCACTGTGTTCTCCTCCCTCTCCTTTCCTGTAGGATTTCCCTTGAAAGGGCTTCTTTCTCTCTGGGCCGGGCACGCGATGCTTACGAATTTACGTGCCATTTACATATCGCTAGCCGACAGCTGCCTCGTTCCAGCCGATTGTTCAATGAACTTTCAAACACCGCTCTCTGTTTCACGCTGGCTGTTCTCTCGCCTCACGCGCGCCTAATGAAATTCTCGCTATTAGCCTTAATAGTTGGGCCCGGGCTTTCAGTTCGCTGTTTCTTTCAGATTGAAGATGTTGTTAAGTGCTTGTCCTCCCTTGTCTGCCCCGCGAGATTGTATACAGGCGATTAGGCAATCGACTTTCTTTGGCGAACAAGGTCGTATTTTTTTTTTACTTTTGTGAGACAGACTGAACATTTGTGCATTTTGTTACATGAAATTTAAGGATTTTTTAGGAAAGGATTAAATTAAATTAAATTAAAGATTTTTAAGGAAAGGATTAAGTTAAATTAAATTAAAGATTTTTAAGGATTTTTAAGAAAAGGATTAAGTTAAATTAAATTAAAGATTTTTAAGGAAAGGATTAAGTTAAATTAAATTAAAGATTTTTAAGGATTTTTAAGGAAAGGATTAAGTTAAATTAAATTAAAGATTTTTAAGGATTTTTAAGGAATTTAAAAGAATTCTACTTGGACTTCAATAGTGTTTATAAAAATACAAAGTTACACGAAGGTCTGTGATCTGACACAGTGAAGGAAAATGATCGCCATTCGAGGAGCAGTAAAATTTGTATTTTAATTAGAAATTGATTCTGCGTAATACTCTCAGTACATATTTTTTTAAACACGGAATCATATTCTGCAAAGAAGAATTGTATTTTTTTTTTCCTTTTCATCTCGTAATCACTTCTCGTTGTAAAATCCTATTTCTGTGTCTCTCTGGACAAAAACCAATTTCCCTCGGTTCTTCTTCTGCCTCTTCCTTTCTCGATCGTTCTTCTCGAAAGAACGTATCAAGATTGAATAGACATAATCACGATTAAAAAGATTCGACATTGAGGAGCAATCTCGGCGACGGCAAGTAGCTATGTACATCAATAAAACGCATTTGAAGAATATCTCGGATGATACTCCTCGCAGAACGCAGGTTGCATTGTATTTCGAATCCGTACGAGTACACATTGATATGCAATTGTGACAGAATCATATTTCCCTTCACCTGCTTATCCCCCATCGCTGACCCAATTCTGCAAATTACACATATTAGATACAAGTGTTTTACCGCAATAGTTTCGCAATAATCCGACAAGTGTGACGCGAGTTCGTTTTCATTTCTCCTTTTCATTTCTCCAGAGAGAAATTTACTCTCATTTAAACGATGAGTTTCGATTTAAATTCATTTCTTTGTTTGTTTCTCCAGAAGGCAAGAAACTCGTTCGTTCTTTTCGATTTAATTTATTAAGAAAACTCGTTTCTTCTAAACAAAAGGAGGGACCTCGAGTTCGAGAGAAAATGCGAGAGTAGAGGGACGAAAGAAAAGGGCGAGGATTCAGTTCCGTGGGAATAATGTTGCGAGAATGTATGCGCTGAATGGCCGGTGATTTTCTTCCGTGCTAATTCGAGGCCTCGCTTCGGTGAACGAGTTACTCTTCGACTCTTGGACACAACGACCAATGTGTACATTGTGCTCCACTGAGCATTGTGGTACACTCCACGTGAAAACCTGTGATTTCTGTCGTCCGTTCGCGTTAAAATTGCACTGCAAAATTGATGTGCTTTTCCAAGTATGAAGGAGTTATTGAATCGTTGAATAAAGCAGCACGAAGTATCAAAGAGGTCGGTCGAGGTGGTGAAAAGTTCGAAAAATTAAAAATTGAAGAAAAATTGATTTTTTTTTTTTAAACTTTTTAAAGTTAGATTGGAAAAGGATCAAAATTTTTCTAAATTAATCAAATGAAGGTACCGCTAGATGGATGTTATCAATCTTTGAGAAGAGAACTCTTTTCATTGGAAGCGCAATGTCTCGCGGGAAAGGAAGTCATTTGTATAATAAATGGAACCTAACGAAAATTTCTATCACGGGGGACCTGTCGGAAGGCCAACGATTTATATAACCGGAGTTCGTATACAATGGAAGGCTCGCTGATTTCCCACACAGCCAGCGAGTTTTCCCGTCGGTGTAGCAAGTGTTCACGTTCAGAGATAAGAGAGAGATAATCGACACGTAGTTCGCTTCATCAAATTTTCGTAATGTTTAAATCAAAATAATTTCGACATCATTGTTTCGTCATTTCATTATTATTACACATCGTACATTCTCAGATTATGTGTGTCCCCTGCGACGACGATCAAATAATCCACTGCAAAAAAGTAGCAAAAAATGAATGGAACAATACATGGAAAATAACTAAAAGCACCCAACTACACAAAAGTATCCAAGATACTTCTTTCACCAGACAAACACCAAACCTTACCAACAGGAAAGGAGGAATAATTATCTCACGCCTAAGAACCGGTCATACCAAGCTGACACATGAACACAAAATCAAAAATACTTCACCACCCACCTGCACTCATTGCAATAACCATCCACTAACAATAACCCACATACTGCACGAATGCCACACAACAGAAATCCAGAAGAAAGACAGAAATACGGAATCAACGCAAACATAAACCTGACTTCTCTAAAATGATATACAAAGAGTATTAAAATATCTCAAAAACATTAACATTACTATACACATATCTAATGGCACCTCGCTGTCGATGCGACATTAAAGAAAAATAGAAGAAGAAGAAGAAGAAGATTACGTGTGGATTGTCTCAAAATTACAGTCCCGCTAAAATTGAATGATTCGGAGCTCGGTATATTACTCGCCAGACTCACCCTACTGCGTTCTTCGGAAAAAATGAAAAAGGCGATACGAAACTGCGAGAAAACAGTTTCAACGAAAATTGCATTGCTTTGAGAAAACTGAACGTGAAAATGCTTTGAGAATGTTATCACTTACCTACCTTACTACCAGACCACTATGACACTGATTGCTGTTTCTCGTTCTCAAGCAGCTTTGGAAAATGAGGAAATTGCATTTCCTGGAGGTGAGATGACGTAACACGTGACGTGTGTACGTACATATATACGTCGTTACGTGTTTTCCTTTGACGCGTACCTGCGCCTCCTCTCTCCTATTGGTTCTAAGAGCAATGGAAACTGGTTTGAGAAACGCGACGCAGCTCAGATTGGCATTGGACCTTCGGTGTGATGCACTTGAACGCGATTGCGCATCGGAGGGAGTGCAGCAATGGAGAGACACAGTCTCTCTGTCGTCTCGCGGCGACGATCGTTTAGAGTTTAGACACGTTGCACCAGTGGTGCAGGGGCACAGAAAGAGAGAGAGAGAGAGAGAGAGAGAGAAAGAGAGAGAAATATCTGGCAACTTGCCAATACAGCCGACTGAAATGAACGAGGTTCACGGTCGAGACTGGAATTCAAAATTCGCGCTTCGGCGGACTCGCCTCGCGGAGAATGAGATCGTAAACCGCGGAAACCGGCGTCCACGCGTCCTCCGCGTTGCGCGTCCGAATGACGTTTCTGCAGGAACGTAAAAATGTAAGATCAACACCAGTAAATGTTTTAAAAAATTGAAATTTTAGTCATTTTCTGATTTATTAATGAGATCAATTAATAAATCAAAAAGATTCGTTGAAAGAAATTAATAAATCAATTAATAAATCAAAAAAAGTCGCCAATAAATATTTAAAAAAATAAAAAATTTTAGTCATTTTTGATTTATTAATAATCGATTAATAGATCAAAAAGATTCGCCAATAAATATTGAAAGAAATTAATAAATCAAAAGAAGTCGCCAATAAATATTTAAAAAAATAAAAAATTTTAGTCATTTTTGATTTATTAATAATCAGTTAATAGATCAAAAAAATTCGCCAGCAAATATTAAAAAAAAATTAATAAATCAAGAGAAGTCTGATCAGTTTACTTTTGTGAAAATTCGACTGAAATTTCGATCGTTCTTTCCCGCTGAAATTTCGAGACACGAGATTCTGTGAAATATCAGTTACGCTTGTATTTATATCAGTTTATTTTTATTTGTCAGTTTATTCTGTGAACGCATTAATTTAAAGATTTCAAAGTCCAAGGTCATATTATAAACATATCTGGATGTATTTTTTCACAAGCTGAGCTTAAAAATTATTTCGGATCCCTGACTCTTCAGCCAAATCAGGATTCAACCAAGTCGGTTGAAGATCTTCAATCCGTAGCCCATTTTTCTTGAAGTAGCTCGCCGAAAATCGATCCGAGTTAAGGGTACACGTTCCTTTCTTATCAACGTGCTATGCCTGCTGATATATATATATATAGCAGAGATTCTCCTGCTTTTGACACGTTACGTGAGTCCGTTTAATTCGAAAGTTTCGGGCCGATTTTAATAGCTGTTTTATAACTGGGGATCGTGATTCAGGAGGCGGAAGCGAATGGCGAAAGTTTCGGGCCGTCTTCACCGCGATCATGCAGTCCATTGCTGTTAAATGCAGACGAGGAGAATTAAAAAAGGAGAAATAAAAATCTTGGAATTAAAATAAAGCTTACGTGTAACAACTGGATTTAATAGAATCGTAATATTTTAATCAATCGCCGTTTCTCAATCTTTATAAATTACCGATTGATTCTTTCAGCGTTTTACTTCACTTCGTGATCGTTCACGTTCAGTAAATGCATTTGCTGCGAAACGCTGAAACAAATTATAAAAATACATCTATATTTATTGAAATAAATTATAAAACGACGATAATTTTCTAGTCTTTTGAAAATCGTATTCTGTTATAAATATTTATTATAAAATTATTTCACTGTGTTGTTTCATTGTAAAATTATTGCTTTGCCTTATCACATTGTATTATTTTACTGTGTTTGTTTCATAAAGTCGTTGTGTTATTACATTGGAAATTGTATTATTTTCATGAAAAATTACGATTGACAGCAATTTTTTCTTTTGTGCCGAAGTATTTTATTTTATAAACACGTTTTCCCCGTTTTACCTAAGTTTCACTTTAACAGCAAACGCAAACTTGTTTTTTTTTTTTTTTTTT